GAGGTTCCGGGCTCTGGGGAGAAAGGGTTCCATCGACAGGAAGGCCTTGGTGGGCAGCCTTCCTAACAAATTCTTCCCCCCAGTTGTGGACGTAAGAGGCCATTCCACCAGGGAAGGAAGCAGGGGCCCTCACGTTTCTGAGAATCCCAGGTTGGGTTTGTTGGAAGCAGACCCTGAGACGTGGATCCACGTGTAAGTGAGTACTACAGGTAGGGGGTGGGGAGGAGGGAAGCCGTTCACTCAAGGGAAGGTGTGTGGTCGGAAGAAGGGCCAGCCTCCCGAGTCCCTGGGGGGCTCTGCAGCATCCATCACCACAGAGGGTTGTCCGCGCCTGAGCAGAGGGAGGTGGGTTTTTCTCCTGCACACCCATCCATCATGTGCAAGGACTGCCCCCTGAAGAGGAAAACTCTGGCTTTCCCAATAGTCTCAAGAGTGGGCAAAGTGCCCAGGGGCCCAGGGCAGTGCTCTGAAGGATGCAGGTGCAGCGTGTCAGCAAAGCCTGCTGCTGGGGACTGGCTGTGTCCCCCCGTGCTGGAATTCATCTCCGGGAGCCCGAACCCCGCAGTGACTGTCCTCGGGGAAGGGACCGTTAGGGAGATAATTAAGGTTAACTGAGGTCATAAGGGTGGGGTCCGAATCTGATAGGACTGGGGTCCTTGTAAGAAGAGACACCAGAGTGCTCTCTCTCTCTCTATCTACTGTCTCTCTCTCTCTCCCTCACCCACCACCCCCCAAGGGCACACAGAGGAAAGGCTATGCGTGGACACAGCAGGAAAGCCAGAAAGAGAGGTCTCTCCCAAAGCCAGCACTGAAAGCACCTCGATCTGGGACTTCCAGCCCCCGGAACTAGGAGAGAATAAATGTCCATTCTTTAAGCCCCCATCTGTGGTATTTCGTTAAGAGCCGCCCCAGCGGACTACCAGCCCACGCAGGTGCGCAGAAGCTGACAGGGGACTTGAAGGGGGAACTCGGGTGGGCAGCACGCACCACACCGGCGACTCATTGCCTGTATTCCCACTATGACAGGAATATGCACCAATTATGCCCCTGTTCTAATCACAAGGATTATCATTTAAAATAAACCTTACAGTTTTATACTTACTGTAATGCACGTTAGGGACCAGCAGAAGTACCTTAACCATAGACTTTCAAGGATATTCTCACTAAAAATAAAGATGAATTTAAAAAACCCAGAGCAATTTAAAGTAGAAGGGAGCAGTGGTCTGAACGTCCATGAGGAGGCGTGGCTTTGGGCGGGCGCCGGCTGCCACTGAGATTCACGCGGGGTCTTCCATTTTCCAAGCGGATTCCACAGCGTCCCCCACAACATCCCTTGAATAAATGGCTCTTCTGATCGAATGAGCCAGGATCATCACTTTTTAGTGCTGCTAACTAGTCTCGCTAATCTGGGCAGGAACCTACACTTCCCTCTGAATCAACTGGCTTGAGTTAAATGAAGAAGGCAAGTCAGTCTGAAGAGGAGGGTGGGTGATGCACAGCTAAGGGAGGGCCGGCTTAAGCCACGGGCCTGGGATCTACGTCCCTGCATTTCGGGGCCCGGCTGCATTTCGGGGCCCGGCTGCATTCCGAGCAGAATCTCTGCAAGTCCCTCCTATGTCGCCTGCAGCCGGGCCCCACCTGCCACTCTTCTCTGTGGGAGATCTCCTGATTTCAGAGAGTGCGGGGCCTCTGTCCGTGCTTGCAAGGCTGTCATTCTCTGTTCCTGCAGATTCTACGGCAGAAAGCCCTCCATGGCCCAGAAGAGCTGTCAGCCTGACACTCCTGGGGAGCCCCACCTCCTGGCACCCACCACTTTGTGTACAACCCTCCCCTGAGCACGGCCCAGACTTGGCTTCTAATGAACGGAATACAGGAAGAGTGTGCGGACGCCACTTGCGAGATTAGGTTATAAAATACTCCGACTCCCATTTGCTGCCATTCCCTTTCTCCCAGGACCTTCTCACAGGCTGGACCCAATGGAGGAGGGCCCCCAGCAAAGAACAAGAAACCAAGGCCCCTGGTCCTATAGCCCTCAAGGACCCGAATCCTTCCCACGACCACGTGAGCCTGGGAGTGGGTCAGCTCTGCTGAGCCTTCAGATGAGACCACAGTTCCTGGTGGAGGAGATGCTGATTGCCCCTTAGTGACAGACCCTGGGGAACGGGCCCCAGTTAGGATGTGCCCGAATCCCTGACCCATGGAAACCATGAGATCATGAACGTGTGGTGTTCTGAACTTGTAAGCTTGAGGGTAATTTGTCACAGGGCAGTAGATAACAAGTGCGCTTGGCCTTTGCTCTATAGGCAGAGGGAAGGAAGCCCTCCTTCCCTCTGGTGGGACTTGCACCTTCCATGTCAACGAGCACCCTTTTGGAGTTGGGGTCCTTCTGGTCCCAGGTCTCCACAGCGTTTAGGTTCCTTGATGAGGGGTGGTCTGGATCTGACTCAGTGTTGGGTGGACATCTGTGCACAGCACTGCCCACAGGGCAACCAACCAAGGCTTCCCGCAGAGCACAGTGAGGAAGGCGGTAAGCACGGGAACCCCATCAGTGCTGTGCTGGTAAACAGACTTCCCAACAAAAAAAACAGAAGCTCACCCTCTCAGCAAACACACCTTGGCCCACAACAGCCTTCACAGACACTCAGCGCAATTGCCTCCGGGACTCTTGAGAACGTGCTCCCACAGGGCTCCCCTCCCTCACATCGAGATTGCTCCCAACTGGGTCATGAAGAATGACTTACATGCGTAACTTCACTTAATGAACACCTTTGCTTTTATTTGCCTAATCAACACCAATCTTATGGGTTAGTTAGACTTTATGTGCATTTGATTCAGGAGATTTAATTTTGCCTCTGATTTCCTGCTAATACCAGTGGACCCTGGCATGCATTTCTTTCTAGTCCCTTTTTCACGAATCGAAACATCTGGATACACAACGCGCACCCCATGTGATATACTAACAGTCCTTCTTGGGGGTGATCTGGGGAAAGGCTGGTGTTTGAACCAGGAAGCTGCTCAGGACACCAGATGTTTTCGCTGGCTACCCATTAAAGGAAGCACGGCGGAGAGAGAGGGTTTACGATCAAAGAACCGGGTGTTTCTAAACAAAGTGGAGAATTTGCAGAATTTTTTCTTGGCAGCCTTGCAGTGTTCACTTAAGAAAATGTGTCCGATGATGGGATACGTTTTCCTTTAGTGTTACTCCCTTCAAGAAAATACACAAAACAGAATGTATCAAGAGCCCTAAAAATGATCAAACTTTTTGATTCTAAAGAAACCACCTTAAGCGAAAAGAGAAGTGGATAAAGCTTTACATGAAAGGTGGTTTACTGCTACAACGTTTATAGTAATAAAAGTTAAGAACAACTGCAACGTCTGAGGACGTGGGTAGGGTGGGTAGAGTTATTTACACAGCGTTAAATCTATATGACGGAATACCATGAGACCAATAAACTGTTTCTGAGGACAATTTAATGTCAGGAGAAAATGTGGTCAATAGAAGTGAAAGCATCTTAAAATCTGTGTATAGATTATGATACCAGGTTTGTAACATAAATACACCGACTACATATTTACTGTGTGTATAAAACACTGGAAGGGAATGAACCAACATGTTAACAGCGGGTTATCCTTGGCTGGCAGAATATTGATGCATTATTTGACTTTTTCCCCCTAGTATAACTGTGCTTTACAAATACTCTAAAGTAAGTATGTGTTGTTTTTATATGCCGGAAACAATTATTTTAAATAATAATCCAGGTGTCTGTATAGAATCTCACATAGCATGTCCTTACATACTATCTCCACTGATGGTCACCCCCTGTTTAAATCCCTCATCACTCAAGTTATGGGCCATAACGGTAGCTGGTGTCCCCGGTAAGCGACCGATGGGGCGACAATTTCCCGACAATTTCAAGTCCAATCCTTCACGTTTGGACACCAAACTTTGCATTTTCCCCGCATCACCAAGCGGTGCTCCCACACCAGCCGGTGTCGTCCAGTTCAACGTGATCCTGACCCTGTCCACCCGGAAATGGCATTGGATCCCCCAGGAGAGGGGCTCAGTCCCACAGGACTGCCCATCCCCCTGCAGGTATCAGTGCAGGCTGTCACCTGGGCTTCTGACCCACCGGCTATAAACCCGAGGTTCCAAAGCCCCCCTTCCTTGGGTTTGATTAATCTGCGAGAGCAGCCCGCAGGACTCCGAGAAAGCGTCACTTACTAGGTTAAATGTTGTAACTCAGGAGCATCCAGATGGAGAAGATGCACAGGGCGGGGTGTGGGGAAGGGCGCGGGGCTTCATGTCCTCTCTGGGCACCACTCGCCCTGAACCTCCATGGGCTCACCCACCTGCAAGCTCTCAGAGACCCAATCTTTGGGGTTTTCCTGGAGGTCTCATGATAGAGGTAAGATTGATTACATCCTTGGCCAATGGTAACTGAAGTCAACCTCCAGGCCCTCTGCCCTCCAGGGAGATGCTGGGCGTGGGGTTCGGGTGACCCAGGTGGTTCCCAAAAGTCACCTCCTTAATGTAAGAAAAGTCACCTTTGTTGCTCTCTTCACTTAGGAAATTCTCAGGGTTTCAGGAGCTCTGTGCCAGGAACAGGGATGAAGCCCAAATACATATTTCTTATTATAAAGCACAACACCACACCCTTTGTGCAAAGAATGAGCACTTGGAGGAAAGCAGCTTCCGATAATCCAGGGAGGGCAAGGGGAGGTGACCAGGGACCTGAGTCCAGGTGGACAGCATGCCCGAGGCCCAGAGGCACAGCCAACCATGCTAACCAGGCTTGGCTTCAAAGCCCAAAAACAGACTCAGAACCAGAGCCGCACCTGCCCCGCCTGGAGCTGCCAGAGGGTCCTGCCCGTGATGAAAGTGCCTACAGATCTCAAGGCTGAGGGGTTAACTGCTCTGCTAAGCAGTGGTTAAATACGAGTGTAAGGCAAGCCTTCTGGGCGGTGACCCGGTCACCGGACCCCACGCCGCCGGGGCTTACCTGTTGCGCGAGCTGGACCCCAGGCGCTGACACAGCACAGTGGTGGTGGCGTGCTTCCCTCCGTTTCCCATCTCCTGCTTCACGTCCCACTGCCGGGGCTCTCTGGTCTGGGTGCCCAGGATGTTCACCCCCTTCTTCACCTTGGCTCTGCGGGCATGAAGACAGGCGGGAGAGAGCCACAGTATTAAAGACCTGGCCTTTGCAGAGGTGCCCATGCTCCACCACGCCGCAGTCCACCACTCCTTGTGCAATTGTCCATGTTTTCGTGGCCCGTGCAGAGATGGGTGAAGGGCACCGGAAAGGTCCCTGGACACCCCTAAACCGAGAAGCAGCCCCGCGAAGCGTTCAGGGGGAGCATCAGCCTGCCTCAGCCAGTCGTTCTCATTCGGGGTGGGGGGTAGTGTCCACATGTCTGATTGTCACAACCAGGTGGGGGAGTGCTGTCTGGTGGGGAGAAGCCAAGGATGCGGCTACACATCCTACCATGCCCAGCACGGCCCCCGCAACACAGACTCGCCAGTCGCGGGGGTTGATAGTGCCCTGGTGGGAAACCCCTGCCCAGGCTTACACTCTGGTTTTGCCACTTTGTCACTGTGTGGCTTCAGGCCACCTATAACCTCTCTATGCCCCAAGTCCCCCTCTGTAATGGATCTGCTCATAAAATTTCATTTCTGAAATAGGTCGTTTGAGATTAAGAGGAATTTGCAAAGCCAACCCACCCACCCCAGAGTTCTCGTGAGCCCAGCTTCCAGGGATCACATCCGACTGAACTCAGGCACAGACCTTACTTAGATCTCACCCAGCGTCCCGGGCACCTGCCTTTTGTGGTGTGTATTTCTAGAAGTGCTATCTCCCGTGTCAATCTGAGTAGCTACCATCATGCCCCGGCACCGTCTTGTCCCGTGTTTGCCAACAAACTCTGCAGAACTATTTGGTTATATGCAGAGCTGTAGCTTAGAAAATGACACGGACCCACATGCACCCAGGCACACACGTTCACCCCTGCCCCACTCACCTCCCGGAGCGGAGGACATAAATCCTCGTGAATGGTTAGAAAGCTAGAAGAACACAGCCCCGCCAGCCTGCCCACCATCGGTCACTGCGAGGGAACGCGAGGAGGCAAGGGTCGACAAGCCACACCTGCACTTTCAAAGTCAAGGCGTCCCAGTCCGTGTCAACCCCCCAGAGCTGCAAGATCACATCAACAGCAACAGGCACCGTTCCTTTAGAACCTTCTCCCAAGTCTTGCATTCAAATGATGCGTGGAACGCACTTGTCACCTTGGCTGCAAGGAGACCAGGGCACGCCTGAGGGACAGACATCGTGGACGCATTAGCGCGCCAAGCCCCCATTTGTCCTGAGAGCAGGAAATTGTCGCCCCATTGGTCGCTTACCGGGGACACCAGCTACCGTTATGGCCCGTAAGAAATGTCTCATGAAATGTGACTTTGCTTGAAACCCCGTTTTGCTGCATTTGGATTTTGCTAAAGACTCCAGGTTTCGGGCGCCTGGGTGGCTCAGTTGGTTAAGCGACTGCCTTCGGCTCGGGTCGTGATCCTGGAGTCCCAGGATCGAGTCCCACATCGGGCTCCTTGCTCAGCAGGGAGTCTGCTTCTCCCTTTGACCCTCTTCCCTCTCGTGCTCTCTCTCATTCTCTCTCTCAAATAAATAAATAAAAAAAAAAAGACTCCAGGTTTCACCGAAGCTACAAATTGTTCTTTCCACTTAACAGTTCGCACAAATTGGAGGATTCTTGCTGACCAGTGCAGTGGCTGGCTTCATCGGTGTGAGCCGGAGACACAGGGTCCAGAAGGCTGATTTGGTAATGAGGCATCTTCTGCATGAGTCCTTCAAGGAAGCGTCTGGTGCAGGAATTTGGGTCCTCGGAGTGGCAGTGTTGCAATGAGAGCCCATGGGGAAAGGTGGTGGGATGAGGGATGCTCCGTGAGGATGCCTGGCTTCTCAGAAAGGAGCTGGGCACCCGCTGGGGTGGGAGAGGCCACCTCTTTTCAGCATCCCAGGGGCGAGGGGAAGGCAGTGGGGTGGGTGCAGGAAAGCCGGCTTCGGGTCCAGCTCTGCTGGTGACGAGCTCTGTGACCTGGGGGAGTCACTCCCGGACCTCTGCTTTTTTTTCATCCTTTGTCTAGGGGGTGGTTTAGTTCAGTGCTCCCCAACTTGTGGGTCCACTGTTGCTGGGGTCGGGAGGTGACTTTGGACGCTCAGAGACAGCGCCACGTCACCAGGCCAGCGTTGGTACCAGTGCCCCTGGCAGGCATGGTGCAGGCTGCCGAGCAGTGTCGGCGTGGGACTCGGGCGTGGGCCTGTCCCGGGGGTGCTCCCCGCGCTGTCCCTGAGCCACCTTTACACTTGATGATCCTGTGCAGCTTCTCAGTGTTCAAAACCCAAATATGCCCCTCCCTCTTTTCAAAAGGTGCCTGACTCGGGTGTAATACAGGGATGATGAAGTGTCCCTTAAAGAAAATCAATGTCCGAGTACAAACTTGGAACACAGAAAGCCCAATTTCTGTCCTCCGATGCATCTGTCTCAGGGTGGGCTAGAGTCTCCATGTAAAATGCTCTCTCTAGAGGCTCCTCACGGCCACTGAGCTTCTAGAAGCCACTGGTATGGCTGCTGCAGGAATGAGCATCTGTGCGGCTTGAGGAGGGGGCTTGGGGGGTGGGGGCTGCGTACCACCTGGTCTCTGGCCCTGTAAGGCTGAGTCGGCTGAATCTGATCCGCAGAGTATGTAATAAAGGAAAACGTATAATTAGTTGCTATTACGGGCTGGACGTGTACTTCCGTCCAAATCCATATGCTGAGCCCCCACCCCCAGGACTTCAGAATGTGACCTCACATGCACACAGACGCAGTCCGGCTCACGGGCAGCTACGGGGAGGCCGCAGGCAAGGACTGGTGCCCTCCTGTGCCCCGAGAAGGGGCGGTTTGCAGACGGATTCCATACAGGGAGAACACCATGGAAGGATAAAGCCAGCCGTCCGCACACCCTGGAGAGAGGTCCGGGCCAGGTTCTCCCTCAGAGCCCTCAGACAGGACCTTGATTCCGGATTTCTGGCCTCAAAAACCGTGAGACGACCCACCTGTCCTTTAAGCCACCACCTGGTACTTGATTTTGGAAGCCCTAGCAAATGGATACAGTTGACAACATGAAAATAAATCCAAGGAGGGGCACCTGGCTGGCTCAGTCGGTAGAACAGGCGACTCTCGATCTCGGGGTTGTAGGTTCGAGCCCCACGTTGGGTGTAGCGATGACTTAGAAATAAAATGAATTTAAAAGCTCCCATATAAAATTCTGGATTTCTGCTTTTTACGCCACTGTGATGTTTAGTCACTCAGCAAACACTTAGTGAGTGTGGCACATGGTCCCACATGCCCAGGGCTGGGTTCGGAAGATGTCACCCACAATCCCCATCCCTGATCCCACGAAAACAAAGCCAGGGACTGCTCCCAGAGCCTCGCAGATGGGAATTAAAGACCCAGATCAGCTGGTCTCACGCTAGGGAGCATGCGGGTGGGCCTGACCTCCTCACTGCAGCCCCGTGTCAGCGGACTGTTCTCTGGCTGGTGGCGCGAGGGGCTACTGGACAGTCCGCGTGTGACAAGGGGTCACCTGCTGTCGTTGTCTTTGAGAATGGAGTGGCCGTGAGCCCAGAAATGAGGGGCAGCCGTTAGGAGCTGAATGTTGGCCCCTCAACAATCAGTGGGGACGCAGGGGGTCCCCCGCCCCAGTCCTGCCACCACCGGAAGTGAGTTCACCCAACAGCCTAAGGGATCTTGGAGGAAGAGTCACCCCCAGAGCCTCCAGACAAGAACCCAGCCCTGCTGACACCTGATTTCAGCCTCGGGAGACCCCAGCCCAGAATTCGGTTCATAGAGAATCTTGACCCACAGCACCTCGAGCTAATAAACGGCGGCTCTTTTAAGTAAGTTGCCAGATCTTTAGTGATCCGCTGCACATCCTGGAAAATGGCCCAGTGTTGCAGGAGCAACGAGGAACCCAGGAAGGCTGGGGCAGAAAACATGAGAACAGAAACCGGGGGGTAGGAGGCGGGGCAGTGTCCCCTGTGGAAACTGGAAGTGCGGGTGAGCGTGACCGCTCCGTGTAGATTCAGCACGCTTGCCATGCTGTTCACTAGTGTGTCCTCCTGGTTTCCTTTATTCGCTGACATCAGGGTTTCTCGACTCAGGCTCTACTGATATCTGGGGACAGACACTGCTGTGCTGCAGGGGAGCTATGCTGTGCATTGTAGGAGGTCTAGCTGCTTCTACTCCGGGGATTGCAGTAGCACCCTTCCCGAGTTGTGACAACCAGACATGTCTCCAGACTTTGCCAAATGTCCTGGGGGGGGGTGGTGGTGTCAAACCATCCTTGGCTGAGACCCAGTGATTCATCTGACCCTTCTTGGCACAGGGCGGACCATGTGCATCCCGAGGCATGGACCAAGTGACCCAACTCCTACCCAGGAGCCAGTGTATCTTCTAGATGCTCCACTGCTGGATTATTCCCTTCATTCTTTCTGCAGAGACCTTCAACAAAGAGGCAGACTTGGGGGGCTCGCCACTCTCTGCCACAGAGTGGACGTTGCTGATGTCTTTTTACAGCTGGCCCTGGGAGCGGTCATCAGGGGCATGCTCACCCAAGAGCTGGCAACATGAATAATGCAGCGAGGGGGGCGTAAGGACCAGAGGCCCAACCCAGAGAGCCTCCGGGTAATGCAGATAAAAGGGGCCCACCGGCCCCTGGTGTCTATGGACTCCTCCAAAGACCGAATGAATAGAGAGGAGGTCAGAGAAATCTCATTGTGATAAATGACCGTCTCTAAACGTCCTACCTGACCTCATGGTCTCCAATGCATCTTTCCGGGGGAGCTGGCTGGGACCAAGCTAAGAAGCAAGCAGTCCCTGACACAGCCCTCCCCTCTCCTGGCCCCTACAAGGAGATGCCATGAGGCAAGACAATGACATTCCCGCCCGTCCCCCTGCACACAGCTGTGCTTTCTGTCCTCTCTACCAACTGGGCTGGACACCGCCTTCACACGGCCTCCTGACACACACTCGTGATGGCTTCTGCAGCGGACAACACAGACGATGGCACTTGGCATCTGGTGGTTGCTGCGTATGAAGGTGT